GCCTGCCCAAGTGTCCACGATGACCTCTTGGCCCAGGGATACAGCAGGGTCTTCGGAGCAGGGGGCTATTGCACCTCCACTCGCTGGCTTGGAGGTCAAAGTCCCACCTGACACTTCCCTGCCCACCAGCTTCCAGGGCTCTAAAGACCAGGATATCTGGGAGACCTGGTTCCAGGCCCAGCCAATCAGGAGAGCAAAGGGGTGAGGTCGTGCTGATAGCAGAAGGCATCTCCCCTGTAAAGGCTTCCATCTGCCAAGGCCTCTGCCCTGCCAGCCGCTGGGTCACCCCACCCCAGCCACACCGTCACTCGGCCTTCTCTCATTTTCAGGCCTCTGCACATGTTCTTACCACTGCCTGAAACCCTCTTCCTCTCCCACCCCTGCAGCCCTGCTCATCCTTGCAGGCCCCAGCTTGGACAGCCCTTCCATTTGGGAAGCCTTCCCAATATGGGGTGAGGTGCCCCTCCCAAGGGCCCTCTCGATCCCCACACGTACGCACCCATCTGGCTGGATTATGATTGCTGCAACAGCACACAACAATACACAGTCCACGACAGTCCACGGCAATGCACACCGAGCTCCAGGAAGTGTTATCACCCCCATATGTTAGATGAGCAAGCTATTATTCAGAGAGGTTAAACCTCTTGCCCAAGGTCACACAGTGAGTTGTGGAGTCAGATTCCACAGAACCAGTGTGGTGGAAAGGATGAAGTGCCACCCAGAACCCCTGTGGAGGAAGGACTCTGCCCCACTGCTGGGAGTGTGTCAGCAGACAACTGTCCAGCTCAGAGCCCTTTCGGGGACTGCCTCATCGGCCAGCTGGTCAACGTGAGCACGATGGCCTGGCCATCCCCACGCAAGTCGGGTCCACCCTGAAGGGCCGTCCTAGCTTCTGAGCTCCTGGTGGGGTGGGCGGAGGCCTTTACTGGGCCTGCCCAGTCCTTCTTCCTTCTCCTTGGGGGCCTAAACTCCAGCCTGTGACACTGAGGCCAGGCCACGCAGACACAGCCGCAACCACTCTGTTCTGTTGCCTCCCAGGGGAGCCGGCCAGCACACAGCAGGAGCTCAAACTTCCTTGTTAAATAAATGGCTAAGTACACAAATGAAGAGACTCTTTGGGTGATGATGGAAAGTACCTATTTGCCTCCCAGGTTCTCACAGTAGGGACTACTAAGTGAGCAGGTCACCCTCGTGTTGGCAGCGAGCATGCCTGTGACCCTGCGCCCTGCCTGAGAGCCCCGGGCCTTTGCCATTGATGGGCAGGCTGCCTGTTTGTCCCCTGAACACCCCGTGCCCTGGGGAGTCGACAGGCCTTCTGCGTGCCCGTGCTACAGGTAAGGCCAGTTTGGGTGTCCAGAAACAAGGCCACGAGCCAACCGGAAGCAAGTTCAAGGAGAAAACTCAGTCCTTCCTTGCCTGGGGTGGCTGGAAAGAACCAAAAGCTCTGCACGCTTTCCTGCCTCTGGCCCCTCCAGCCCTTGATCCTCTCCTCTGTCGATCTGGAGCCCCCGTCCCCAGCTCAGCCGCCCTGCAGCTCTGCGGTGCCTGTTTTCAAGCACAGGGAAAGCTGTGTCTCTAATGAGACAAACACTGAAGGATCAGGAGGCAGGTTGTGTTTCTCTGCCTCTCCTTCCCGTCTCACCTCTGCCGGGTTCCCTCCCTCTCCATCTCCTGAGCTCTCAGCCCTCCTTCCTGCCGCCCACGGTCAGGGGCAGATGACTTCCAGCTAGGGGCGGCTGAGGAAGGAGAACACTTACTATCCTACAGGATAGGTTCTTAATATACTTCATATCTACCCTTCCAAAGAAGCCTCTGAAGTAGATCCTATTTGCTCTACTTTACAAATAACATAAAACTATGCCCTGAAATTAAAAGTTGAGGAACTTGTCCAAAGTCACACAGCTAGAGTATTAGAAGGCAGGTTGTATGATGCCAACACTGTTCCTATTATGCAGAGTAGCTTCCCGCTGCTCCTGGGGCTTTGGCATGTGGCCCTGGCCCCAGGGCCCCTAGGGTGACCCACGGAGGGATGACTCTAGGGGAACAAAATGACCAGCCAGTGGGAACAGTGACTGCAGATGCAGAAATCACCAAGGAAATGCGGCAAAATGACAAAGTAAATTCAACCCCACTGAGTTGGGGTCACACACGCCTCTATGTCCTCCCCTCCCCAGCAGCTAAGCAGTCTCAGCACCTTGAAATTCCAGAGTATAAAGCCATTTTGCTCATTTCTGCTTGCTAGCACAACTTCACAAAGCCCTGACTCTGTGACATCGTGCGGCTCTCCAGAAAGGTGCTTTGAAGACAAAACAGGATGGAGCACATGGCCACCCATGTCTCTTGCTAGAGGAATTAAAATATATTTAATACAGGGCTTAGTTGTTATGCCTCTGTAATTGACAACCAGTTGTACTCTTGCACGCAAACTTTGATATGGTTTTGCAGGTACTGAAAAATCTTACCTGTGTGCAAGTGGTGGACTGAAATCCTTGCGGGGCAGGCTGACAGAGCTTCTCGAAAGGGCTGCTTCCTGGCCATAGGCCTCTGTCTATAGTCCTCAGCGAGACTTTTGAATAAAACTGACTTTAATTCTTTAAACGCTTGATTTTTTTTTTTTTCTTTAGACAACAGGAGCCTGAGAGGAAACGGAAATGAGAGGCAGCTGAAACTGGCAGAAAGCTGCCGCCTTGGGTCCCAGTTTCAGCGCCTCCTGGCCATAAGACCCTGAGCTTTGGTTTTCTTATGTCTAAGAGATAACAGTAATACTACCTACCTCACTGAGGTTGTTATTGAGAATAAAATGAAACTGAGAATTACATAAGATGATGTTGTTAAACTACTCAGTGCCCAGCGTACCTACCAGATGCATCTTGGTTCTCTTCTCCGGCCCTGTGACCAGCCCCAGAGCCGTGACCAGGGGAAGCAGGTGGGCCCAGGGGCTTGTGGGGATTTTATAAATGGCTCATTGATTTATTAAAAGGAAAACATTGAAAGACAAACACATTCAAGTCTGATTTTGTATGGAAGAATGATAGCTATGGAGAAAGTTCATAATTAACTTATATGCCCTCTTCTCAACTTTAAAGAACTCGAAATACAAAAATCATCATCTTCGACAGAAGCATCTCTTGTTTCCAAGCTCTGTGACCGTGGGCATGAGAGTAATACCGAATTCACAGCTCTTTTAATGATTAAAGAAGATAAACACGTATTTTTTCAATGGCTGTCTTCCACACACACGATTTATTTATTTCACCACCATCTACTTCTGCAGTAACTTTAAACACCTTTCATAGGAAGAAAACCAAATTATTTCCTTCCATTATTAATGAAGAAAGCAAGTCCTGGGTAGAAGTGATTTACCCTGGATTTAAAGAGCAGATGAGACCCGCAAGCTCTTCAGCTCTCTCTCTGTCCTGTCCTTTGGCTCTGATTTTTATGTCAGGTTTGAGCCAGAGGCATTTGTTTAGAGCCTTGTCAACAGACAATGCAAGAGGAACCACCGGAGAAGCAGTTTTTTTAAAAAGCAAAGCAGTTCTCAAGGTACTAAATTCTGATCCTAGTTTGTTTCTCTAGATGGGGCTGGAGAGGGGAAGGCACAAAGCACCCAGAGGCAGAGATTTGGTGTGAGGCTTCTAGTACTTTGTTCTGCCCTCCCTGCCACCCAGCCCAGCCCCTGCTGCACCCACCAGGCCCTGAGCCCTGTGGATCTGAGGAGATCTCCTTTCCCCTTGGCTAGGACGTTCCAATCTTGCCTCTAGGAAACACATAAACACTACAGATTATTTATTTTCACACATTTCTCCCCGAATGATTAAGGGAGGTAGAGCTTTTTCCTCAGGAACCATCTGGGTTTTTGGCAAAATCACGGATCCTCTCAAATGCAGCCTTCATAGGGATACTGAGGGGGTTATTTTTTTCCCCCCTTTGTGTATATTTTTTATTATAAAATAAGCTGACAGGGAGATCTACTAAGTGTTCAAAACATTCCGGAGGTGACGGCATTATAGATTAATGCAGCTTCTCAGGCTTGCTGAAGAGTTACCTGGCCTGGTCCCCACCTGGGGGCCAGCGCTTCTCAGCTGAGGCGGAGGAACATCTGCACCAGAATGTTCTCAGCTGCCTGTGGAAAACGCAGCTTCCTGGCCCCGTGCTAGACTCTTAAATCAGAGTTGGAGGTTTTAGAAAATTTCATTTTTTTTTTATTTCAGCATATTATGGGGGTACAGATGTTTAGGTTATGTATGTTGCCCTTGCCCCCCCTCTCCCCCCCTAAGTCCAGTTTCAGATATGTCCATCCTTCGGGTGGTGCGCATTGCACTCTGTGTATGCAAATACCCGTCCCCTCCTCCCTCCTCCCTCCTCCCCCCTCCCCCCTGCCCAACATCCAATAGATGTTATTCATTTTTTTTTATTTCAGCATATTATGGGGGTACAGATGTTTAGGTTACGTATGTTGCCCTTGCCCCCCCCTCTCCCCCCCTAAGTCCAGTTTCAGATATGTCCATCCTTCGGGTGGTGTGCATTGCACTCATCCAGGAGTATACAAGAGGTGCTATATCATCATTGTTTCTTAAAGCTGAATAGTACTCCATGGTATACATATACCACAGTTTATTAATCCGCTCATGTATTGATGGACACTTGGGTTGTTTCCACATCTTTGCAATTGTGAATTGTGCTGCTATAAACAGAACATTTCATTTTTAACACATTTGGGAGCTGAGGCTCCCACACGCGAAAGCCTGCTGTGCCCGCCTTCTAGAGAATCGCCCCCTTTGAACACCTAAGCAGAGTTCCCAGGTGAGTCAGGGTCCCCGTCCACCCTCCATCCTCGGAGAGCAGCCCTGGGCTCCTACTCGGATCCCCAGGAGGTCTCTCCCACCGACCACCATCACCTGCTGTACCAAGTTCTCAGCCTTGGAATCTCCCTCCAGCAAGGTTAGAAAGTGTGGGGGAGAAAAACCCTTCACACACAGAAACATTAAACAAATTGGGGCTTTTATTTACATAATAGGGCAAGAAAGGATACAAAAGAAGCTTCTCTGTCAAGCACATGATGGGAAAGCTCTAGAACTTGATTCTCAGTAGGGTGCGGGCCCTCATATTTAAAAAAAAAAAGTTAAAGATGAAGAAAAGGTAAAAAGGTAAACTGAGACGGGATCCAAGTTCGTAAGCTCAAGGAACAAAGAACGAGAAAAACACAGGAGCCTCACAGGAGAAATGATGACTCAGGCGAGTGACAGTTTGAAGTTCATCTTCTGTACCCATGAACCTGACTCCCGGGACAATCCCTGCGAGGTTTTGACTTTGGACATTTCTGGGTTAATGCTCAACCAGGCTTTAAGAATTTCAGGGCCAAATGTGCTGGACTGAACAGTCTGTCCAATTTGGGGGGTGGGGAAGCTCTTTTTTAGACAGACTCCCAGGCAAGGAAAAGGCCTCAGCAGCTCTGGTCCCTTCCTGGGGTCCCCTTCCACGTCCCCACGAGGAGTCAGTCAGCTCCTTGGGGTCACAGGGGAGGGTGTCCTCCAGACCTCCTGTCTTCATTCCCTGTGACTGGCAGCCCCCACAGGGCCTGACTCGCTTCCCCACTAACTGCGTGGCCGCTTCTCCCACTTGCGTCTCTCTCTGCTCTTCCCCGACCCCCAGAGTGCGGGGCAAGCTGTCGTTACCTCGCATGTGTGCGCATGTGCCATTATCAACTTTCATCCCTCATGCTAAAACAAGATCACCTGTTTCCTCTCCTCCTCAAATATTAATGATGCAAGAATTGGTTTCCAGTTTCTCTTCAACATGAGGTCAAAGCTTCAGAAAGCAAAGTCTAGCTTCACAGCTACGACCTTCTCCTCCACCCATTCCTTTTTCTGTCCCTCTGTCTGTCTTGCTACCTTCTCACCTCCCAGTGACTTCTAGTTGGGCTTGATCAAAGCAGCATGAGCGTCGTGGCCTCCCTTCCACCTACGTGACAACAGGTAGGTGTGGCCGCTGACCCTGCAGACTGGTCAGCAAAAACCACTTTGGCCTTCCGGATATGTGGAAAATAAAGTCAGAACAGTGGCCTGCGGTGGGGTTGGCAGGGGGGCGCGGTGTGAGGGACCCGCTCTTTCCTTCACCTCCCTGTCCAGTGGCAGTCCTCGTTTCATCCCTGGTGGGTGTCAGGCCTGGGACGCGTGCCCATGCCAACCTTCGAGTCCAGGTGAGATGAGGTCAGACCAGCCAGCGTGGAAGAGGAAAGGAAGCTACAAAGGCAGCCAGTGTGAGCTCATGGCCTCGGAGGGGTTTTAAGCACCAGCCACGGCACTTCTGGCCACCCAGCTCCCCTGACCCCACCTAGAGGCACAGGCCCAGCCCGCCAGACTCCCCAACAGTGATGCTCCAGACCCGCCTCCTGGACTGCCCCCAGCGCCCCCGTCCTCTTGCCTTGGTTCCACTTCCTCCACGCTTGTCTCCTACTTACTGGTTCCCTCTCTAAATGCACACGTTCATTCCCAGATGCTCTCTCTCTCTCTCTCTCTCTCTCTCAGCCCCTGCCAGCGCGCAGCTGTCAGGAGTGGGCAGATGCTGCCAGGATCCCGATCGAAGCCAGCTGCACCCTTGCTGGAGAGTCTGGCTGGCCCCAAAGTCCCAGCTGGGCCAAACTGGGCCACACCAGGCACCACAGCCCTCAGGACTGTCCCTCGGCCAATCCGTCCCAGCCACCCATCCCGCATCTGAACTTGCCCTTCCTCCTCCCCTCCTTGCCAGCCGCACGACCTTGCAAAGATGGAGGAAAATGACAAGCTTTTATCTACTTTAAACAGCCATGACATACTTTCGACACAGTTTTCAAAGCATCATAGCCTTCAAAGAGGTTTTGTCTTCCTTCCTTCTTCTCAAGCCTGTAATTCAACTCCTGGTGACAGAGTGGCGGAGGAAGGAGATGGGGGAGGACAACTTGGGACATAAACGGCTCCTTAGCTGCCCTCAGAACAGAGGCAGCCAAGGGCCGTGAGTGCCCATCAGCCCGTGACCGTCCCAGGAGGACACAGAAAATCATCTGAGGTCAGCATCCTCTCATCCCCCCGCAATCGCCACTCTGCTCCCCACGCTCGAATCTGCCCGGTGTTGGCCTCCATCGGCACCCGCCACCTTCCCCGAAGGCTCAGGCTTTAGCAAACCAACTCAAATCCCAAACCCAACCTCGGCCTGATTCTCTGCGGGACTGACCACGGGATCCACACGTGTGTGAGAGACGAGAAAAGCTCAGCAGGTGGGCAGGGATGACTCATTCATCACACTCATCCGAGTCAACAAAGAAAGACATTTTTTCTCCTCCAAGTCTGCCGTGAGTTCAAGTCTGAAATGCTCCTGGATCCGCACTGTCCCGGCTCCATCACTCCGCGGCGCCCGCCCAAGCAGCTCCCCTGTCAGCGCACGAAGGAAACCACGCTGGTGGTGACCGCGAAGGGGGCGGCGTAGGCTGCGGCGAATCCCTGCAGGCCGATGACCACGTAGCGGCATCCTTTGGTGATGACCTTCCCGACGTTCTGGTTTTAGGAATAGAAGAGAAAAGCAAAGGATTCAGTCAGGCATCGTTTGAGTTCTGCCGAGAGCCATGGTGACTTACTTAAAGAATCATTTTTCCTCATTCTTCCAGGCAAAGTAGCAAGTTCCCGTGTTTCCGCATCCCTGGGGGAAGATTCCCACCCCAGTCTAAGAACATGTGGGGACTCAGAACAGACATCTCCCCGCAAGGTGCTTTCAAGCACAGCAGATTTCCAGATAATTCGGAGACTTTCTTAGAAACAGGAGTGAGGCTGCCAATTCTAAAACTAACCCAGTTTGTTTTATTTTTTAAACCAAAGTCCACTCTTCTTCTAGCTGAAAGTTCTAGCTAAAAGTTACTGGACCACCTGAAGGCTGGGTCAAGTTTTCCTTCCTTCACCTTATCAGAAAGCCCATCCTGTCCTCCTTCTACCTCCAGGGCATATTCCTGTCTGACCTGTGCATTTGTCCCTCTGTAGCCTTCTGCCATTCCCTAATTGCTGCGTGCGTGCGTGCACACACACACACACACACACACACACACACACACACACACACACACACACACGTCTTGCGGTTCCAATACAATTATAAGCTCTGGAGGGCAAGGACTGGGCTTTCTTGGTACTCACTCCTCCTCTTCCTTCTCCGCAAGGCTGGACAGGGGACATCCAAAGGATTCCAGTGGGATTGCAACAGAAAAACGAAGACCACCACGACCAACTAGCATTTACCGCATAGTTGCCCCCTGGTCTTCTCCCCTCCCCCAGCTTCTGCCATCGCTCTCAGTGACATCAATGTCCATGCAGATGACCTGTGCCTTATCTCACACAGCTTGACTCTCCGCCCTTTGACTTTTCCAGCTCCTGTAACCACTAGGAATGTTTTCATTTAAAATTCCTGATCACAATCACAAACCTTATTTTGACTTCCAATGCTGCCGGCAAACCTACTGTACCTGTCTAGTTGGGTAACTTTCCCTCGCTCCCAGGCACTACCTCCTACCCTCTCCTTTCTCCTCAACGCATGCACACGCGCGCGTGCACACACACACACGCGCGCGTGCACACACACACACACACACACACACACACACACACGTCTCTGTACCTTCACTGGAAGGTACCACTTTATTTTCCACTGAAGAAAACCAGACGTTATCAGGGAATGCATTTGTCTTCCCACCACTCTGCACAGACCAACCTGTGTGTGCCCCGGCCTCCCCGACCTTGCCTGTGCCTTCTTCCCCAGGGCCATCCCCTGACACTTGCTGTGGGTCCCTCTCTCACCCTGCTCTTGGCTCTGCCCTCTGCAGCCTCATTCTCTTTCCCTCCCTGGATGGGTCCCGTAGCTTACACCTACGCTCGGCTGTCGCCTTCACGCCACAGCCTGCCCTCAGTCTCTGACCTCCTTCAACCAAAGCAAGCGACACAGCCACCCCCATGTGCTGCCTCCACTTCCGCACTTCCTGTTCCCTCGGACGCTGGCTCTTTCCTCCCCCCACCCAGGCACTGCTTGGTCACGGACATCTACAAGTTCCATGTGCTGGACCCAATGGACGCTCCTGTCTCCCTCTCCCCAATCTCTCAGCGGCTTCTGATATACTTCATGAAATAATCATCTTTGATTCCATATTCTCTTGGTTCTCCCCATCTTACAGGGAGCTCCTCCTCAGCTTTCTTTGCTAGGCTGTCCCCCTACCAAACTTTAAAGTGCTGGAGCTCTTCAGTGCGCAGTCCTGGGTCCTACTTTCTCTCTCTCTCTCTCTCTCGCTCTCTCTCTCTTGCCCTCTGTCTCTCTTTTTCCCTGTGATTTCTCCTTTGGTGGTCTCTTCTATTACCAATGACTCTGAGTATTTCCTGGATGCCAATAACTCTTCAGCTCAGACTCAAATATTCAACTCTCTACTTGAGATCTCCACTTTCTGAGAGCACACAAATCCTCTGGCGTACACTCTCCCTGGTAGCACCAAACAAATAAAGTTAACTTTGATTGGCTACTGGTATGTCCCTGGTGGCTTTTGGCTATGGGGCTTCAAGGAGAAACAAGGACAGAGAGGTTACATTTATCCAAGTTTATGTACCCGGTAAGAGGCAGAGCTGAAGTTCAATCCCAAAGAAATCTCACCTCAGAGCCTGCGCCCTCAACCCCCGTGTATACTTCCCTTCTTTAATAAAGGCAGTAGGTAACCTTGTAGTGAGCTGCTGATGGCCTGGCCTTGAATTTCAGCTCCGTCACTTACTTAACTAGTTTTCCATGTCCTCAGTTTCCTCCCCAGTACAATGGGAACATTTAGTAACCACCTCATTGGGCTGTTGAGAGGATTAAATGAGTTCATGCAAGGAAAGCAGAGCAAATGCCTCACCATGTGAGCTGTTATTATGGAAAATAACATCTGCTTCTTTTTATTACATACACAGTAATTTAGGTTTGTGGTGGTGATATATAAATCCAAGATATTTTTATCTGTTCAGGGAAGTTTCTTAAGAGTATAATTCCCTATGATTTCTGGCTTACTTGGGATTTTGTAGTTTAAATGACAGAGTCCCCTCAATAAGATAATGAAGGTGGGGACTTCGTTATGCCCTATACTGTATCCACAGCAGGTAGAAAGAGCCTGTTTCCTTCGGTACCTCTCCCGCTAAACGAGGAGCTCTGGGGAAATCAGGTAATGTCTATGTCTTCTCTAGACACTGCTTGCCTGAATCCTACCGCGTTGATTTCTCAGTGAGACAGTGAGCTGGGGCGTGCTGCAAGCATTTGGGGGCAAAAGGGGGCATGAGGCTGCTAAGAGATATCCTTCTCTAAATGTGTGATAGGAATCACTGGGAGAATTATATGTTCGAAACAAACAACAACAAAAAAAACCCCTTTATTCTGTGGCATAAGTATAGCAATCAAGAGCGAGCCTTTATAAACAAGGCCACCACAATCACGACTGTCTGCGTTAAATTTGACATTTTTGGTATTTGTGCATCCATTTTCCTCAGCCTGTTATTTTTTAAAAAGCTGAGTGTCACTTCATCTTTGCAATTTAGAAAAAAAAAATCGACTAACATAGCTCATTAACTGGAACACTGTCAAAAATACAGATTTGAGAAACGAAATGCAAAGAAATGTAAACTATGTATCAATCACCATTGCAGCGTCATTTGAGAGAGCAGATTTGGGATTCTTTGATCTGAGTATAGCATTCTGCCCAACGGAGCTCTCAAAGGGGCTCTGGGGAATGGGGGAGCAGAGAGAGGGAACCTACTTTCTTTCCCTACGTTGGAGCCTGGTTATCTCTTGGTTGGCTCCAAGAAAGTAGAAGCTGAAGTTGCTCTTTTGAAGGGCAGAAAGGCCACGTCCAACCCTAACCTGACAACGTCCTCTCCCCTGGCCTTCTGGCTCACACTGTTGAACTGGTGTGTCACACTCTGGAGCTTTCCTGCCCACAACTCTGCTTGCAATGTCCCTTGATCTTGGATGACACTCCTTCTCTATCTCGGGAAAGCTTTATTTTCAGTTAAGGCAAAATTCACATAACATAAAATTCGCCACTTTAAAGTGTATAGTTCAGTGGCATTTAGTACATTTACAATGTTGTGCAGCTACCACTTCTCTCTAGCGGTGGTGGGGGACGCAAACCCACGCCCCATTACGCAGCTGCTCTGCACTCCTCCGTCCCAGTCCCTGGCAACCACCAAGCTGCGTTCTATCTGGATTGACCTAGTCTGGATATTTCGTACAAATGGAATCACAATCCAATATGGTACCTGTGGGTCTGGCTTATTTCACTTAGCATAATGTTTTCAGAGGTTCATCTATATTACAGTAAGTATTAGGATTTCCTTTTTGTGGCTGAATAATATTCCATCGTACGTACATATCACATTTTGTTTATCGATTCATCAGTTGATGGACATTTGGGTTGTTTCCACCTTTTGGCTATTGTAAATAATGCTTCTATGAACATGTGTGTATAAATATTTGTTTGAGTACCTGTTTTCAATTATTTTGGTTGTATCCCTAGAAGTGGAATTGCTGAATCATAGGGTAGTTTTACGTTTAACTTTTTGAGGACCTGCCAAATTCTTTTCCACAGTGGCTGCGCCATTTTACATTCCCACCAGCGATGTACAAGGTTTCCAATTTCTCCACATCCTCGCTAACATTTATTTGGCGTTTGCTGTTTTTTTTAAGAGTAGCCATCCTAAATGGTATTATGTGGTACTTCATCAGTATCTGGTGAAATCTGAACTCATCCTTCTATGCCCAGTTTTCACATCACTGTGATTTGAATGAAGACTTTCCTGACCTCACAGCCTCACCTGGGAGGTGCTAACTGCCTTAGCTCTGTGCCAGCCACCTTCACAGTGGTGGCCCAGCCATACCAGTGTCTCCCTGGGAGGCTGGGGACTTCTCCAGGGCAGGACTGCATCATAAGCATTGTGGTTAGCACAATGCCTGGCGCACAGTGAGTGCTTCTAGAACATCATCGAGTGCTGAACCCTGAGCAGAGGTTTTATCAGTTCACAGCAAATGATGGCTTCTTCGTGCTCAGCTGGGACGGGGAAGAGAAATGATTAGTCCTAGTGCGACTCTAAGCCAGAAAGACCCAACTTTATAGCTTTTATTAGTATATTTTACCACTGCTTGCTGTGTACCACTCCAAAAGCTGCTGACACACCTTTAAAGAGGGTGACAAACCTCAGCTCCCAGGCATGGAGACTGAAGGCTGCAGGTATGATAAGACGCAGCTAGAGGACACAGATCTCTGGACAATAAAGCAGGCGGGGGCCATGGCCTTTGGCCAGGACACAATGACTATTGTAACTTTTTTTCTCAGTATCCTTGTCCAGGCGAGAGGAGCTTCCAGAAGCGGCTTTGAGTGCTTCCAGGCAGAGGCACCTGGGAATTGCCTTTGGGCTCTGACTTCGAGAAGCAAACTGTCATTTATCCCCCATTCACCCTTCCTGTCCCTCTCCCGGCAGCCGTCCCCTAAGGTAAAAGGCAGAGCGTTTGGAGGCCCCAGGGGGCACAGTTGGCTAACACGAGTGCATATCTGTATCTTTACTGAGCTCCCAGGCCCTAGAAATAACCCGGGTCATATTTGGGGGGAGTAACCAAAACATTTCTCAGCTAGTGGGGTAAGCTGGAGAGGCTGTTACCGGAAAACAGATAAAGGGGGCTGCAACTCCTTTCTTCCAACTGGGTCACCTTCTACAAGTCACCTGACCGCGCTAACGCTTCAGTATTCCCATCCGCAATATGGGGCCACTGACTCCTGCTAAGAGCCTTGGTAAGAGCCCTTGAGAATGTGCTGACCCTCCAGCCGCGGGCCGATCTCGCTTATTTGATGACTTGCCACTCCTGCGTTCCCTCTGGCGAGGGAGTGGAGGCCCGGGAAGTGAGGGGTCGCAGGGGCAGCCCCCAGGAGAAGCTGAGCTGAGCAGGCGGTCAGGACCCGCCCGGAGCCCCGGCGCCGGCGAAGCGCCAAGCCCCGCGGGGCAGAGCGCGGGCCGGGACACCGCGGGCCCCGGCCCCCGGGCGAGGCCGGCGCAGGGCCCCTACCTTGCCGTACTTCTTCAGCTTCTGCCGGTACCTCCGCTTGGGCTTCTCGCCCGGGCCGGGCTCGTCCAGCGGCTCGTAGCGCTCGGGCAGGGCGGCGAGGTGCACTTGCCGCGCGCCCCGGGCCCCCGGGCGCCGCCCGCCCGCCGCGCCCTCCGCCGGCCCCGCCGCCTCGTCCCCGCACTCCAGGTGCTCCAGGATGGGCGCCGCCTCCTCGTCCCCCGCCGTCCGCCCTCGCGCTCGGGGCCGGCGAGCCGCCTTGCTTCGGAGCCTCGTTCCCACCGTCATGATGCCGCGGCCCCTCCGGCGAAGGTCCGAGCGCGAAGACGCCGACCTTCGCTCCCCGCCCGCTCCTCCGCCCCGGCCGCCCGCCCCAGCCCGGACGGGGAAGGGGACTCGGGGGTCGGGGTCGCAGCGCCCCCTGGCCGCGGGGCCCGGGATGGCTGCGGCTCCGCTGGGGACCGGCCTCCCTTGGCAGCAAGAGCGCTCGGCGCATCCCGCAGCCGCATCCCACCTGTAGCCGAAGGGGTGCAGAACACACCGAGAGCTCAGTGCACAGTGAACATGCAAAACACGTTCAACTGCGCTTGCGACGGAATTAATGAACCCCAAATAATGGGACCCCATTGCCCACGTTCAAATGGGCACATAGGATAGTGATAAAAAGGATCCCACTCTGTGGCTTTGGGGAGATGGTCACGGTAACACGACATTCATGGGAGTGCGTGTTGGTGGCAAGCCTTGGGAAAGGCGATCAGAAAATATGTACCGAGAGTCTTAAAAAATGTCTACATCCTTCTAGGAAATAATCAGAACCGCAAGGCAATGCATCAGCGGTGTCCGTTCATCTGACGCACAGCGATTCGTAGTGAAAAATGGAGCAAATCAACGAGGATGGGCTGACTACATTGCGGTGCAGACATACGACAGCCTGCGATGCAATCATTAAAATCATGATTCTCAAGAACATCACCCTGTGAGACACGCGTTCTCGGTGTCCTGTGCATCTCAGACTGCTGGAATGCCTTATTTTGTTATGTGGGTAAATGTCTTTGAGTTCTGGGGAATGTAGAATTGAGTCTAAAATAATATGGGTTATTAATTTTATTGGTATTTTAACATTAAAGTTTGTGATACATTTACGATTAATTTGGGTATGTTGGTATAAGTACATAAAACATTTATGATATTTAATTTAGCTCATTAGAATGTAAAAAATTAGTTTTGTGATTGCAACTCTAAAGGTGTGATCAAGTAGGCAGTAACGAATGCTGGTGAGGATGTGGAGAAAGCGTACAGCACTTGTACACTCTTGGTAGGAATGTAAATTAGGACAGTCACTATGGAGAACAGTCCGGAGATTCCTCAAAAAAAACCAAAAATAGACTACCATATGACCCGGCAATCCCACTG